GTTTGAAATATTTTCGGAAGCCTAAAACGTGAACAAATTATTTCGTTACTCTGATATGGTTGATTTCAAAATAAATATTTTAATGCGAATTCATGAGAAGCAATTAAAATATATTGAATGATGTACATTTATATCTATAGGTGGAAGTAAACAATTACGAATCAATTTATTATCCTTTAAATAAGAATCTTTGCAGTGAAACATCTTTATGATGTGTCTACCACAATATTTGTACAATAGTATGGGTATCAGTCAAGAACTGAATCGACACTTTTGCGGACTCGCCTGCAAACTCGCCTGTGGACTCAGCTCAACCGAAGGACTCATAACTCCTACAAATAATTGAAAAACATTCTTTTACATCAAAAACAATGAATTTTCGCTTACAGCTTCTATGATGATTGACGAATGACGAATTTGACAGTCTCACTCATATAGCTAAAATTTTTAAATTGAACAATTTTGTCATTATCGAAGACCTCATTGATTGCACTTTAGTTTTCGCAAGTGTATTCAAGAAAAGTTTCTGAAATAGTAGGAACATTTCCATTATCATTCTGAAATAGAAACGTCATTTCCGTTCTTACATACGGTATAAACAGGATTAATAAAATACCTATCAAATCCATCCATTTTCACTCAATTTGTGATGTATGAATGACAGTTTTACTTTCATTCCTATGATGCTCATTTTTACCGGTTGAAGCTGTAGAATTAAATTAAATTAAAAAATTAATTAAAATTAAATTTTACTAAATCAAATTTTATTATTTAATACACTAGATGGTACAAGCTGTAGAATTAAATTCTATTAGAAAAATGTTTAATTAAAAATCTGATTATATTTTTTATATTAAAAATTAATTTTTATTAAATTAATTTGTATTATTAATGCACTATATGGTACATGCTCTATGTTTTATATAATGAAATAGTTTCCAATGTTAAACAACAAAAATTTTCTAAAAGACACAAAACGTTCAAAAACGTGGGATGGCAGACAAAATCATTCAGAATTTGAAGTGAATTTATAAAGATAAATTCAACATAATAGGGCAAAAAATTCAAATCTGGAACGTATAAATAGGTTTTTATAATTTAAAAAAAACTTTCAATCATTTAAATCTCAGAATGGAACGTGAATCAAGTCTATTTATAGTGAAATCAAACTAGACACAACCAAAACATAAGTGTGTGACACCTCTTGTGAGAAGTAAACAGAAAACGCCATGTGAATGTAAGCAATGAAAGAGTGGAAGTTTATCTCATAATTTTGTGTGAAATCGAAAACTTTGTGGGTGTTGTCCAATCGTCAGAATTTTTTATGAAGCTGGATATGTTTTTTTTTATTTTAGAACGTATTCATTGCAAAAATGTGTCCGCAAGCCTCCAGATAAACGACTAGTTAACTTGATTAGTCGTTGGCAACACGGGATTGGATTTCAAACCACGCGCGATTTCGGAAGCACATTACGTAGTTTCCAATGAGCTCAGTTTATAAATTTTCATTGCAGTGGAAGGCAGTGTGGAATTCTGTATAGTTAATATATTCTCATGTGAATATATGAAAACGTATCGAAAAATCAACCCTACCACCGCGTTACACCACCTCACCTTCCACTGCAGTGAAATCATATAAACTGAGCTCATTGGAAACTGCCTGCCGCTCTTCCGAAATCAAACGTGGTTTGAAATCCAATCCCGTGTTGCCAACGCCGAATCAAGTTAACTAGTCGTTTATCTGTAGGCTAGCAGACACATTTTGCAATGAATACATTCTAAAATAAAAATAAAACACATCCAGAATCTTAAAAATCTCACGATTGGACAATACCAACAAACTTTTCGATATCACACCAAAGTATGAGATCTGTCTCTTATACACATCTAGANTCTTATACACATCTAGATGTGTATAAGAGACAGCCTTTAAGAAGTTCATTTTTTGCCTCAAATAACAATGTTGGATAGAAAAAGTGGTCTTGGTGGATCGAAATAATATATGAACCTTCAAAATTAGAATTCCATCCTGGTGGAAGGTGGTGTAACACGGTGGTAGGGTTGGTATTTCAATACGTTTTCTTAAATTGACATGAGAATATATTACCTATATAGAATTCCACACTGCGGCAATAAGTACTCACAATAATTCCCTGCCACCATGGTGTTTACCCTAGTTTGGTGCGCAAAGATATGACGTCACTATTTCAACAATCAACAAATGCGTGGAACTAAGACAAAGCTTAATATAAAAGAAAAACTAGAGAGGTGTCGGAATTACCCACGATGTTGGAATATACCGCGTTTACCCTACTGAGTCGGGGAGCCCCAGGCCACTGAGGCCAGCTGGGCTGCTGGGGGCTAAGCCCCCAGCAGCCCGGGGCTTAACTACTTAAGCTGCCTAAAGGCTAAAGTTAGTTAAGTAAAGATTATGTCATTTGTCAAGACAGTCAAGTACAATTTTAGGTTTGTAAACATACTGTTCAATTTTAATTACTAATTTGATTAAATTTTTAAACCATCACTAGGTATATTGTAAACTTGAATTTGAATTCAATTCTCCCAAAACAAAATTATTTGTTAATGCAAGTTGCAATCAAGCCAGTTAATCTACCTTGGTAAGTTGGTAACCTTCATAAGCCAACCCTACTTAGTCTTAGGCTACCCTACCAGATGAAATATCAAATACTCCATTACTTGAATAAGTTCTGAGTTCTGGCAGTGATCGGGGACGCACGTAGTGTTTGCGGGTCCCAACTTTCTCACTTCTTACTATGCCGGTTTGACAAGGCACGAAATGGAAAAGAATCGGCGACAGGCCACATCAGGCCTACACTTCAGAGCCGACATCACTATGTTATGTTATGTTATGTTAAGTTGAATAACAATACTATAACACAAAATTGAGACACAAAAATTCAGTGGAATCCTGAATTGCAGTTGCAATCTTAAGGCAAACAAGAGATGATGTTAAGATCCTTCGATTGTCGTGGAGAATTAGATAGGTACCTCCAGGCTCCTGAATTTGAAGAGCGGCAGGAATCTAAAAAAACACCACTACCTATTCGTACTTGATGTAAAGCCGTTAAGGTAAATCATTGATTAATGCCAGAATTTGAGTAGAACGATGTGTAATGTCATTATTTACTGCTTCTCTAATATGAATGACAACCCTTCGTAATTAAATTAACTGAGGCATCTGCTCATAGTATCTGAACAAATCATAGCTACCTACCCATGCCATGCCAGATTGCCAGCTTTTGGTTGTAGATGCTCAACGCTTATACTTCCGCAGTGGCATAATACGCCAAATTTGGATTGATTAAAAGGGGAAATGTTTTCGCATGATTAAATATAAATCACGATTCAAACCATTAACACTCTCTTACTTTGTTGAAGACTGCGCTGGCCTTGTCTGCGTCTTTTTTTTCCTCAGTGAATAAATAAATAACTGCCGACTATTCTCAGATAAATATCAAAACCTACGTGAATTAAAAAGTGTTTAACGGCCAAATAATGCTCTAATTTTTTGTATGATATGGAAAGTAGTTATACATTCTTTATCATTATAAATTATCAGCCCTCTGGCATTGATTAATACCAAAACGACCAAATACAAATGCTAAAAAACTTATTTGATGTAATAAGCAAATCCGCGCTTCAGGGTGGCCGAATAGTAAAAGTTCTGAGCACAAAATTGTGAGCAGCAAGTTGTTCACTCAAAACCAGCAGCCAATTGTGAAAACTTTTAGTCCAAATCGCCAGTCGGCAAGGTGGCTGGGCGGTTTAGCACAGGAGTTTTGGAACAGCGAGTTGCGGGTTCGATAACCGCATCAAGCTTTGAGAATTCAGTGATGTTCAGAATCGGCGACAGGCCATATCATGGTAAAATTATTGTCCTGATTACTTCATCTTCCACGTTGAGGCTGCTGTAATTACTATAGTATTATCAGTGATTTTTATCACGACCACCCCTCAGGGGGGGGCTTCTGACGCGTGTCTGTGCGTGTCAGAAGTCCTATGGGATTTCGCGCTCCTAGGGGGATTGTTCCTGAGCGCCCCACCGCTGAGCTCGCGGTATCTGACTGTGTGTCTCAGTCGTGGGGTTAAGTTATTATGTCGGTAGGATTCCTTACATTTCCCTTCTCTGTCTCTCTCGTGCGGGTGGCCGACGTCCCGTGTAAGCGACCTCTTGTTCGAGTGTCTTTGTTTATGTTGCTTTTCACCTGTCCCACCTTGTCACTTCGTCTCTTTGAGATGCTAACGCTGCTTCCCTTGAGCCAGCTTCAGCGGGCTGGACAACTGAGACCTTCCACCCCTTTTGGGTGATGACCCATTTTTGATTTGAGAAACTTTCGATAATTGAGACCTTCCACCTCTTTGGTGATGTTCAACATGACTTTCGGTGCGAGATAGCTAAATAGCTGAAGCGCTAGTAAACACGTGGCCACTAAACTAACTCACGACCATTTCCGTAAGAAACAGAACATTTCCGAAAGGCTCAGTAATACTACATGATCACACATTCATTTTTTGTACACATTTCACAGGGTTGTAGACCCGGATTTTTCAGAGATTTACCACTATTATTCATGGACTTTAAGCATATTATAAATAAATAATTCTCCCTCATGAGTCCATTTCTCATATCTCTCACTTATTCGAGCTAGGTTTCGTGGCGCCTAATCTGTCAGAATAACTAACCATTATCAATGCAAGCATTGGTGAAAAATTGTTATATTTAACTCTACAACGTGTAAAATCCTAATCATATATGTTCAAACCCAAGCAGATATCACACGTTTTGGTCATTAAATTTTGCTAAAATTAATTAAAATTGTGATGGCGCAATGAGCTATGAAAGTTGAACGGACTCATTACAAAACAATTGTTATCCTTTTTTCGTTTTCAATTAATCACAGAGACCCGTCGAAAGTTTATTCCCTAATAGAGTACAACTTTTCACTACCCATTATTGCAGGAGGAAATCAAACTCAGTCTCATTCAAACTTTCTATAAAATGAATGAGCATCACAATAGAGTAACCGTGAACATCACGGTTATATAAGGATTCTTCTTATAAATTTATACTAGGGAAAATTTTCTACTCCCGGCAAGAACCATTAGACATCATCTCCTTATTACTTACTAATAGAATTCAAAGGAAGCCAGAATAAGGCTGTTCTCTATAGGAAAGTATGCATAATTCGATTTATAATTTATTATATTATAATAATAATTTCTCTTTGAGTTAGACCCTTCTAACAGCAAAAAAATTTAAAACTAAAAATGGATTTGAATTACAAGTAAACATGCAATAATCATAACAATATTAATTAACAATAATAAAATTTCCAATCACACATTCTAACCTCATAAAATTGAACAAAATACTCCTCATGAAACGCAGAAGTGGATGATCTGCCTACATTGTAAATGCAAATGATATAAAATATAAATAATAAAATCCATTATTTCTTGGAAAATATTCAACATAAACATTCCGTAATCAAAGTTTTATCCCATTAAAATGCGGAGAAAATTATTCAAATGAAGAAGCATTGTTTATTCAATGTTATTGGTTGTGGCCACCACAGCTGCTGACCACAAGTGCGAGGACCTAATGCTATTGTTATGGAGTGCTGAGACGATGGGCGAAGATTCAAACTAAGCAAAAGGCGACAATTGTTAGCACGGCCTCAAAAAGTTTTTAAAGCGCACATATTATACATAGCCCACAAGGCTACATCATTGAAAATAGTGGATTTCTCTTCATGCTAAGATTCCTAGTGTCACAGCTGAACATAAACGAGCTATACCAAACGATGTTCTTTCCACCATTGGGGTATAAATAACCAAGTTAATTTATATTAATAACAATATTATTGTTGTATAAATAACCAAGTTTGATTCTGAACCACCTAATGTGCTCCCAGTATGCACTCGCGCGCGTGAAAATCTAAACTGTGAAACTATTGAAAACTTGCATTCGAGTTCAAATTGAAGAATGATCAACAAAAAAACGTTATCAAGAGAAATAAGAATTCGAAGCAAAACGTTAAGTATTATTCCATTCAGTGAGAAAACTTCGCCAGATGAAGACATGACAGTTTTTGAAGCAACAGATGGTCCGACAACAACGCTTTTCGGACTACAAACAGCTATACATGAAAGAATACTTACATGTGTACAAACATTCATAATACGATCCAACTTGATAAACAATAGATAATTATTATCAGAAACGTACGCAAGATTAGTCTAATAAGGGACAACAGAAATTGACGGTAAATCAGATCATTGCATTGCACTCGGTCATGAGGTGGCGTCGAAGTTTGCTTATATCAGGACGAACACTGACACACGCTGTAGATCAGGGCCTAAACTTTCAAAAAAGTTGAGAGATCGTAAGTTCATCAGCCAATCATTCAAGCAAATGCTGTCAAGCATTGACGGCCCGATCATAGACAAGAAAATAGAGCGTAAGTACTAACGTTTAAAGAATTTTGAGAGTGTGGCCCCTGGGCTGTGCAATGTACACGGGTTGCTTGTAAATGGTCTTAAGGTACAGCATTAGTGGCTGTACAGTGTACGCTGCCTACCTGTAGTTACAGCATCAGATGTTGTACGTATACTGCTAACTAATGGTCATGGATGTCCTATTAGAATGCATAGAAATCGAGCATATAGAAAATGATCTAGGAACTAGACGATAAAAAAATAACAGAAAGTAACACCCTTTGGCTGCAAAACTTGTTAAATAAAGTTACTATGCCGGCGGTTATTACGCAAAAAAGACTTGCCAACAATGAGCTTGATTCAAAGCCACAATATCGCACACAAGAAAGCAGCCCAACACCGTAGTTCGCGAAAATATCAAACAATTTAGTTTGAAATCTTTGATTTGATGAAACTTGTCATCAACGGAAACTCGATTTAATGAAGCCTAAGCTAACAAATCATGCCTCACGTCTTATTGGCCGCTGATGCCAAGTCACTGCACCGAATTTAACTAAAAAAAAAAACAAGGACCATACAAATTATCGCTCCATACTAATACTTCAAATAGGAACTTCAAATTTTCATATTAGGTTTGGATATTCAAACAGAAAGAAGCAAAATTCATTTGTCGCTCGCTTCGCACTGGTCACTTTATGATCACCACGTCTTGCAAAGCTCGCTATTCGAGCGGCTTATACAAACTTTGACTTACGATGTGGGAGCATTCACCTAGTCGAAGTATGAGCCGCATAATAGGGATAAGACAGTTAACACATATATTTGTTGGTAATGGCTATGCTATTGCTTCCTATTGATAACTATGGTTTTGTATAGAATAAAGCCACCGATACTTGTGCCCAGAAGGTTTGGTTTGATTAACGGGATAAGATGATGGCTTGCAGAGCGTGGCCTTGGGTTTAGACGTCAGAAATTCATCATAAGATCCCCGTACGAGTAAACATCAAGAAATATAATTCTCCTAGAAATCATAAAATAATTTTAAGTAGCATAAGCAGTGGCATGTCTGTTACATCGTTGACACAAAGAAGGTAGAGAAGATGCGAAATGATCGAAAATGAACGAATCTGTAAATGGTCATAAGAAAAACAAAAAAATTCTTTGATAAAAAGCAACAAAAGCAGAACTGAATTTCAAGTTCAGCGTCTAACGCAGCCTTATATTTGAAAAGATTAACTCAAGATTAAATTTAAAGCGAGTTTTAAAATTGCACTCCAAGAAGGCAAAGATTTTTAATAAACGTTGTAGCAGATTTCGTAAGCTTGAAATACATTCTTTATATTTTTACAAATAAAAATTATTAACAAATGAGGCAAAAACAGGAATAGAAGAGAATAAACTTGTAAAATGGCCTGATTATTGCAATATCGCTAGATTATTCAACTTGATTGCTTTTTATTTGATCAAAGTGTTGCACGGCGACGAAGATTGAGTTCAGAGCTAATACACTGACTATAAGAACTAAAGAGAAATAAGTGAATAACCGAAAACCGAAATGAAATACACGAGGGCATACTTGTGATCAATCATACCGTTTCATACGGTTCATTCTTCGCAAGCTAATAAAATAACTTCACACTACATGAAAATTGCAGGACTTGAGATGAAGTGACGGTTAAGATTGCCCAACCACAGATCGCAAACAAATAACAACGTAGAGAATAATTAAGTTAAGACACTTAGTTAACTTAATAAATTAGTAATGAGTTAAAACAGTTAAGAAGAAATTTTATAAAAAACATAATTGGAAATAAATATCAAAAACTTAAAATCTAATAACAGGGAAGCGCAGTAACTTTCATGAAATTCAATCATTTGAACTCCTGAATAAAATTTGAATAAGATTAACAATTCTTAATTGTTAAGGAAGCCATAGGCTATAGGAAGCATTGCACTGAATTGGCCAGACTCATCGTCCTACGTTGGTCAAGACCAGGGGTCACCAAACTACGGCCCGCGGGCCGAATCCGGCCCGCGACGTTAGTTCATCAGGCCCGTCGACGGTACTTTAATTTGTCTAATAAAACGGTTGGAGCACGAGATGTTGTGATACAATTTAAATTTTATGTTTATAATACTAGGAAATCTTCGCGCGTGAGGAGACCTCCTGAAGTTCATAGAAGTGCAGAAAACTGCAAGACTATGTATAACCTTCCGTGGAATCAGCTTCGAAGTGTTACAGTTGATGGAGGTCAAAACATGGCTGGAATGAGGAAGGGTCTGGTGGGGCTGCTGGGGCAGATCAGGACTCAGTTAGATCTTCAAATTCCAGGTGCTCTGTTCATACACTGCATCATACATCAGCAAGCACTCTGTGGGAAAGATTTAGATATTTCTTGTGTACTGAAACCAGTCGTTTCTGCTGTGAACTTGATTCGGGGACTTGCACAGTTGCACTCAATCACCGTCAGTTCCAGGCTTTTCTTGAAGAAATTGATTCTGATTTCTGTGACTTGCCTTATTAAGCAGCAGTGAGATGGCTCAGCTGTGGTAAAGTCCCGTTTCGTTTTTACAAGCTCCGAAACGAAATAGATGTTTTTCTCACTGAAAAAGATAAGAGCGGATTCACAGCTGTCAGATCCTATCTGTCTGTTAAAATTGTCTTTTTTGGTCGACATCACATCCCACATGAATGAACTGAACTTGAAACTTCAGGGAAAGGATAACCTCGTCTGTGATCTCTACAGAATCATCAAAGGATTTCGAAGAAAGCTGTCATTGTTTGAAGCACAACTGGAAGGAAATAACTTCTCTCATTTTCACTGTTTCGGAGAGTTTTGCCCTTCAATCGCTGAAGGTGTCAACCTCGATTTTCCAAAAAAATATTGTTCGTGACTTGAAGAAGCATTTTTTAAAGAGATTTTCATTTCTCGACAGAACTGATAGTGATATTCTTCTGTTCCAAAATCCGTTTGATTGTAACCTTGATGATGTGCCAGTTGAACACTTGAACTACAGTTGGAGCTCAGTGATTTGCAAGCAAATGACTTGTTGAAAAAGAATCTCAGAGAAGGAAAACTTGTCGAATTTTAACGCTGCTTACCTGATCCTGAGTTTCCGAAATTGAAGAAATTTGCCGCTTGTATGGTATCAGTGTTTAAAACAACTTATGTCTGTGAGCAAACATTTTCCAAAATGAAGTATGTGAAGTCAACACTTCGAACGAGATTGACTGATGAACATTTGAAAGCAATTCTCTTGATTGGATGCAGCAATTCCAAATCAAACATTGATATCTTGAAAGCCAAACGTCAGTTTCACAAATCTCACTGACCTTTGCTGTTTAGTTTGTGAGATTCGGATATGTGCACACTATGTCTGATGTAACTATCTTTTTGCTTACGTTGCCTTCTTTGAAAACTTTTTAGTAAATAAAGTGTCGGTTGTCTTTGTTTTTTGATTAACGTGGAATGCTAAAATTAGTTTTTCGTCTTTCTTTCCAGAGCTTTCGTTCTGGCTTGCAAGTATTGAACAGAATGACTATGCGGCCCGCGCTCGTCATACATTCAGTTATCCGGCCCACTGTGAAAAAAGTTTGGTGACCCCTGGTCAAGACGATGCAGTCGCACCCATATCGTCATGATATCGTACCGATATCGTCATGCAGCCGTACCTGCATCGTCCTGCGTGGGTGCAGGACGATGAAGGACCATTGCCACCGGTATCTCTAACCTCACACAATGAAGGTTCAGTTAATAAAATAAGTTCCGTGCAGGTTCAATGCTGGAACTCGGCTGAAGCAGCACAGTTCAAAGCCTGGTGCAGTGAGCAGAAGCTCGTGCAAGTCCTAAAAAAATACAGGGGCGAGGTTGCTACAGTTAAAGAGTTTTGAAGCTCATTGGAGATGACAACATGTCTGAGACAGTCACCAGTGACTACGGCGGTGTCTTCTGAGACTAGTTGCCAGGATTACTTCAAATTCATGAACTACATTTCCCTCATTAAGTACATCATGAAATTTGAAAAGCTAACGATCGGACGAAAAGCAAGCATACTCGAAACTCACTCTTTTCTCCACGCAAATTTCAGACGAAAATCGCCGTATCAAGCTAAAATTTAAAAAAGCTTATCACAGTTATTAGAAAGTTTTCTACAGAACATTTCCTTACCGCTAAGATAATCTCGGACTTGAAGTAGGCACGAAATGTAATACTGTGTCCTAGAGAGGCCAGCTCTCAGGATATCCTCACATCCATGAGCTCGTGAGGTGCTGTTCGAGCGCCGTGGCTGTGAGGGGACAAGACATGGTTCAAGTTCTGGTCTTTGAGGACCTCGTACTTTGGCAAGACTTGCGTGGACTTGAGCTTCTCTCGGTACTTGACGTAAGCGTATAGGAACCCGCCCGCGGTGTTCATTACAATGCCTGGAAAACAAGAGACGTACAGTGTCTTGTCAGGCTCCGCTCTACGTTATATAAATAGATGCTATAGAATAGAAGTGTCGGCCCACTGAAGAAATAGGCACATGGCCTGTTGCCGATTCTTGTACTTTTCGTGACTTGATTCACAAGGGATCCGGCCTTTGGAACCCGATCTTTCCATAACTGACAATTAATTGAGATAGCTGCTGGCCTTATGCTATGGATTGCTACTGCCTAAATCTATTCCAAATGACTACGCAAGGATGAAGAACAACTTTGTAAAAAACAGAGTCTTTTAATGTATCTCAAGGACGGGAAAGATTGCATGAAGATTATGTCGTTCTAATCACACATATTGAAGATGCCTATAGGACATTTGGTCTCATAAATAGTGATAGCCATTTGCATTTATAAAACAATTTCATAACTGGAGACGAGAAATGAATAATGAACAAGAGTAAAGAATTTAGGAATGTTGGGGTACTGAAGTATATAATACTTCAATGAAAGATATTAGAGTGTTGAATGATGATAAATACGCTGAAGGAACACACTCATAAAAAGTAAGACTTGGTCCAAATAGCGATGCACATCTTGCCCTGCCAATGTGTGGGCCATCCAGATCATTTTTGCCGGCAAAAAGACGCATCAGTGCGACATGCAGAAAGTGTGACACTATTTGGACAATATAACCCATTCATTTATGGGGTCATACCCATTTTAGGTAAAGCATCAGTGATAAAAATAATAAGCGCACTCACCGGTGACGTTGAGCGGGTGGTAACGCACCCCACCGAAGGCGAAGAAACCCCCCAGGGTCTGCACGACATTCTTGGCGACGCCCACGAGGGACGTGGTGAGGGCCGAGGTCACGGCGGTGCACAGAAAGAGGGCGTAGTTGAAGAGGGAGCCAACCACTACGATCAGCACCAGCGCCAACAGGAACCCTGAGTCTGCTCACACACATATCTTATACATTATAAGATATGTGTGTGTATATATATTTAGTATAGGTTGGCAGAATTTCTTCTTTCAAGCAGGTTTCATTGAAGACCAGAGAATTTGTTTTATTCGCAATTTTCTTATTAGTTTTTTCAATATATCGAACAATATTTTTAGTTTGAACTGGCAAATC